GTGTGTGTGTGTGTGTGTGTGTGTGTGTGTGTGTGTGTGTGTGTGTGTGTTTCAATTAGTTTTGTTCTACAACTTGTTGCCAGCAGTTCCTGTGATAACATGTGGCTTAAAAGAAAAAGGTCACTTGAATTAGTCATGCCTTGAATTCAGATTAATCCTTATATTGTAAAAAATATCACTGGGCTGTGTTTATTGGCCAAGGGCTCCAAGATGGCTGCCTCCCAGATTGATGTCATCCCTCCCCTCACTGCTTCATCAGCTCAACGTTTAGCCAGCACTTCCCAACTGGCAGATGCTAAAGCAGTTTTTTTTTAATCTGCTGATCTGTGGACACTGGGTGATCACTCTTACAGGATGGTTTCCAGCCATCAGACCAGTGTCAGCAGTTGTTTTGGAGCGTGGCAGCACTGTCTGATTATAAATGACACTATAGGGGCATGACAACTACAGTCTGTGTGTAAACTGTTGCTGCCCATGAGGAGACCTCCTAATTTGGATTTGCCACAAGCAGACAGAGACTGCAAGTGATTTAAATAAGCACTGACACAACGTGGCCTAAAACAAGGAGCTCTATGCTTATTCATGAATTTCATTCATGTCTGCGCAGATAAATCAGGAAGGATGTATGCATTCAGTACAACTCAGTCTGCCAAATACAACAATCGCACAATGGATGCACATTTTAAACACCATTGTTGCAATCTGAATCAGAATAATTAGAATCAATTAACAGACTTTATTTATCTTTTATGTACAGTGTTGTTTTTTTCTGTTCTGAAATCCTCCTGGTGTGGATTTAAAGCAGCTTGTTTCTACCTTTACTGAAAATATATGTCTAGGGAAAAATTAAAATGAAATAAAATAAACTTTACTTGCATTATTCTTTCAAACTTTACATTCTAATGTGCCAAACCCAACAGGAACTCAGTCATCTATTGATTCTAATAAGAAGATGTAATATTGATTTATTTTAATATTGTGAGCCAGTAAAGAGCTTCTGTGTATGTGTGTTATTGATGAGGTGGATAAGTGGGATACACATTTCTTTAAAAAACCTAAACCAGTTCTATTGTTTTAAATCAATATGTCTGCAATGAAACAGGTTCCTTGTTCACAATTTTTTAAAAAAGCAGCATCGTTTGTCACTTATGCAAGCAGCTTATGTCATCCCTTCACCTACACACTCATCAGCTTTAGATAAGCATCATATTATACCGGTGATTTCAAGGATTAATTATGTTACAAGCAAACGATGAGGTGAGGTTTTTCGAGCTGTGACTGTGGCATTAAAGATCTTTACAGTCCAAGTCTGACTGAGCAAACAGTCATCACAGCGTGAAAAAGAGACCCACATACAGGCTTACAGGTAGGTGGATGTGAAGCAGAATGACCAAATTAAATAACTAAAAATGAAAGCAGTGCTGTGGCAAACAGTTGAGGAAAACAACAGCAGCACATGCCAAAAACTACAACTTACAAAAAGCACAGCAAAGAATACATGAGAAAATATCAGCACAGGTAAAAAGATGGGATTAAATGTTGTAAGGAATTGGAACATAACAAGCAGGAGTGCTATTTCAGAAGTGAGATAGGTGAAGAATAACCAGCATAATAAGACAAATACATCAAACACAAAAATAACACAATTCTACATCAAATAAACCAGAATAGAAGAACTAACAAAACAAGATGTAGCATGATGAACACACTTTCATTAATCACCTTTTTTTCTGTGACATCAAGTTTGAGCAGAATATGACTTGTTAAATGTACAAAATAAACTAACTTCAGATTTAAAAATATAAAAAATAAAATATCCAAAGCATGCTCAAGTGTGCACAATAAGTCCAGCCTGACAAGTCAGTACATTCCTATTATGTTGTTTGTTCTTAAAAATACATTTTTAAACACAATGTGAACACAGACTCACATTTTAACTCATTTCTGTTTCTAACAGGACACATATATATGTTTTACAATTACATATAAACTCTGAACTGTTTTTTCTACTGAGCATTATGTTTCTTTAGTGGGACAT